CCACCAAGTGTTTGTAATCCTGTGGCATGAATGGTTTGGGTTTGGTATTGTTAGGTAAGGGTAGGAAGTTGTTGGTTGAGGTTGTTGGATTCGAGGAGTGCAGGAATCTTAGGAGGTTGGTCCGAAAAAGCGTCCATCATACAAAGAACATGGATGGTTGGTGGTTGGGTAATGGGCTGAATGTGGAAGTGTTGCTTGTGTTTTTTGGGCCGGGAGAGCAGGTCGGCAAGAGTGTTGTGTTTGCCTTTGATGTGTTTGACATCAAATTGATAGTGGGAAAACCACTGAGCCCATCGAAGCTGTTGGCTGTCTGGAATTTCTTTCTGTTTAAAGTCAAGCATGCGAGGAAATGATGACATGTCCATCTCAACCAGAAAGTGATGGCTGACTAAGTGGAATTCAAACTTTTCGATACCACGTCAGACTGCAAGGATCTCCTTGTAGGTGGAGTGATAATGCTCTTCACTGGGTTTGAAGTGGCCACTTTTGTATCCACAAATTTTTCGGATCCCGTCTAAGTTTTCTAGGAGAATGGCGGACCAATGAGAGTCACTGCATCAGTCTAGAGGATGCGTTTGCCATTAGAAGGGATTTGGAGAGGAGGCAATTTAAGTGCTATTTCCTTCAACTTTTTGACAGAATTAGTCTGGGAAGTGCTCCAGGGAGGTGGATCCTTTTTTAGCATGGTGTGAAAAGGGCACACCAAAGGGGATAATTTTTTGATAAACGGGGCCATATAATTGACAATGCCGAGTCTGCTTCTTTGAGAGAGATGTGTAAGTCTGGGAACCGAAGGAGTTCTTGGCCAATGTGAGGTTGAAGTTGGTATTGGCCATTGGCTATATGCATGCCAAGAAAGTCAATTTCTGTTGTGTTAAGGACCATTTTCTTTTCAGACAACATGACTCCGTATTTTCTGCGGAGGGAGTAAAATTGGTGTAGAAGAGCAATGTGACTGGAGTGGTCAGGAGAATAAAGAAGGATATCATCAATGTATACAAGGGCTTGTTTTAGGATGGGTTGGAAAATGCGGATCATGGCTTTTTGAAAGATGGATGGAGCCGTTTTGAGCCCAAAAGGAAGGATTGTCCAATGGTAGTGGAGGTTTGGGATACAAAACCCTATTTTTTCTCGATCTGTAGGGTTGAGGCCAAGCTGCCAAAATCCAGCTATAAGATCAAACTTAGAAAATACCCTGGCATTGGTAAGGTATCCAAAGAGGAACTCCTTTTGAGGAAGAGGAAACTTGATATCTGCAAGGAACAAATTTCATGGTTTATAATTAGTAACCAGGCGAAGTTTTCCTCTGACTTGCTCAGCTCGTTTGTTGACATAGAAGGCTTGACAAGCCCAGGGAGATTGAGTGGGTTCGATCAATTTTTCCTATTAAAGTTAGGCTAATTCTTGTTGGGCCAAGGCTAAATGTTCAGGGTTCATGCCAAGATGAGTAGCCTTGGTGGGATTGATATCCTCATTTTTTTTAAAGGAAGGCTGACAAAGAATTCTGGATTCAGCCACAAAGGATTGGAACATTTAGTGAGGAAATCAGTATGGGATTGAGCAGAGCATTCAGTGACCAATTGTTTGGTAAACTCTGTTTCAAGGACAGTGGCTGGTAGGGTAGTAAAGTAATTGTGGGGTTGTTTGTAGGGTTGAAAGTAAGACTTATGTTTTAGGCCTTAGGGAGTAAAGGTGAATTTGGCTTTCAGGAGTTGGTTCAAAAGATCCCAGCCAACAACCATATCTTTTCCAGGATGGTGTGAACCAAGACATTCGTGAGTAAGGATAAGGTTAGGAAAGAATTGGATATGGATGGGTTTACTGATAAGAGTAGTGGAGAAGTGTTCTCCATTTGCAGCAGTAAACCAACGAATGTGAGGGCGCCAAAATGGTGTAGGTAGTACATTAGGATTCAAGATAGTTGAAGTAGCACTAGTATCAAACAGGGCCATAACTTTGATGGGCCGGTCATATTTGGAGTAAAGGTACAAGGTGAGTTCAACCATGGGGACTTGGACTGAGAGATTCATAGGGAAATAACCAAAGTGGAGAGAACTACCACTGGAGTAGTCATCAGATGAATTGTCGTCCATTGTGGGGACGATCAATAGATCCACAGCAAAAACCATTGCAGGGGTTTGTTCCTCTGTTTCAGAATAAAGGGATTCTAAATCATGGTCGGCAAGCGCCTCTACCTGTTGTAAAAAACCCGAACACTTCGCAAAAAATTGCCCCAAACACTAGGAACCATCCCGTGCTCGAGTCCCGCGTACTCCCCCTTCAGTATACTCCCTAATCACAACAATATCCACATTCTGATGATGTGTCGGCAATCCAGGCAAGTTATAACAATTTACCAATGACGCGCACAAGTCCAGCTCTTTCCTCAACTTTACGTTCAACGAACTCACACCCCCGCCCATCGGAGTCCTTAGCCCGCCTTTTAAGCACACCTTATTCTTCTTTATGGACTCTATCACGTGTTCCGGCACTCGATTCATGTCGCCGTGCACCTCATACTTCTCAAAGGACATCGGTGCGTGCATAGCATCCATTACTTGTTCCACGGCTTCCGTTACTAATGGTCTGATCCCGTCGCCAGGGATTAAAGTCATGGGTTGAGGAGCGCCGTCTCCGGGTCGGGGCATGTAGGTGATGGATCGAGTTGTGGTGAGGTTTTTAAGGAGGTGGAGCAATCGCCGAGACATTTCGGTCCGGGAGTACGAATCCTTGTGTGTTGTTTTGAGTGAGGGAAATATGGGTAAGTGAATTGAGCAGAGTTGTGGTGAAAATACTTTTTCGTATTTTTCTTATAATTTTGTGTAAGGGATATGATGGGAATTATGATATATATTTGGAGTTTATATTGATTTTTAGTAAAAAAAAATTTAGGCATATAAAATAGAGTTGAGATCTTGCGGCTCAACCAAATTCTTTATCACCTTCCCCTTCCTCTTCCTCTTTGAGTCCTTTTATGGACTGTAACGTCAGGCCGTCCTCCTCTTCTGGTTAATCACACTATCACAACCCCTAACCCATGTCAACCATATTCATTTCGATGGTTTCGACCATGGCCTACGACGGCGGAAGACGTATTTGTAAAAATACATTCATATTCCAATATTCATATAAAAGTTGACAATACAATCAATTTCATCATAAAATCTCCATGGAATATATGCGGAAGTAAATGACAAACCTCCAGCCATAGCAATTGTTGTTTAATCTTCTTGCTCCTTCAAAATACAGAGTCTTCCACTGACTACAATTTCAGAGTGATGGTTTTTTTAGAATCAAAAGGAAAAATTGAGTCTAATGGGGACCTATAAAGTCTCCTTTTTATATGCAGTTGTCTTTCCATCAAAGACAACTACCCAAGAGAAGAGACACAACTGTATGACCACATCAATCCACATCAGCATAAAAGTGTAGGACCATAATGTAATTATATTAAAAGTGTAGGACCATCGTGCAAAAAGTCTAACAGTATTCACTTTGTTTCTATCACAGCCTAAGACGGTGGAAGACGTGTGGATGGATGTTAACGTTTCTCTTATTGTCTTGCAATGTTTCTGATTACAAGAGCCGAGCTAACTATAGTTGGAATTCTATGTGAACAGTGACAATCCTGTATAAATCCACCTCCACCTAAAAATCCTGTTTCAATTCCCAGTTTCAACTCTTTAACATTGTTTGATAGTCATGCGCAGAGGCTCTTGATTTACTTGAATTCAGTAAAATTACTGAACAAGGGAAAGAAAAGTAGAAACCTTGAAGAGCATAGTTCTCATTTCGGATAAACTTTCCCTAAGAATTCGTATTGAGTAGCTCGATTTTGATAATCAGAAACATTGTAAGAAAGTATGAGAAAAGCTAAGGTCCATCTAAACCTCTTCCAGAGTCTCGGGAGTGAAAATGAAGATTCAAGGTGGAAGTGTTGGGGCTGTGATGAACCAGCAGAGGAGCTTGGAGAGGATGGTGATTGGTGATGAGGAATTTGAGGTTCTGCTGTGTCATGTTTTCAATTGAGTTCAATGGTTAAAATTTATGTAAAACAGAAAAGTTCCTTAACCTAAATGAAAGTGAGGGGCTTTGGCCCTCTCAAGAATATTTGTCACCTAGGTACTTTGAGCTCTTTTAATAATATAAATATATATTAAAAAATTATTTTAAATTTATTTTTCTTATATTTTGAGATGCAAAAACATTAATTAAATTTTTATATTCAAGTTTAAAAACTAAATCTTTTTCAATTCATAATATAACTAAATTACCTCATCTTTCTTATGAGGACCAAAGGTAGACGGTGACTAGCGGGCGACTGGGATCAGGTAAGTGAGGGGTTTTGGAGAGGGGGCTGAGGGGACGAAGATGATGGCGTCAGGGAAGGTCAAGGACAGCGAATACGTGCCGGAAATGGCTATCGCATGTGGTGAAGAATGAAAATAGGTTGTGAAAATCAGTAAAAATCAACCAAATTGGGGGTTATCAAGGCTAGGAAAATATTTGGGAAATGATTAAGTGATGAATCCAGTCGATTTTGGTGAGAAAATTGACCAAAATCATCACTTTAATGCCGACAACGACACTATAGCGGTATAGAGGGGTAGAGATACAATGTTTTCATCATTTTAGGGATTGATGGGTGTTTTAAAATTTTAGACATTTAAATATATTTTAGTTAATTTAGGGGTGTGAATGAAAAATATGAAACATAATTTTTTTGTAAATTTATGTAAAAAAATTATAATAAATTTGGGCCTTTTCTGCCTTTTTGGGGACCTTTAAACCGGTTTAGATAAAAAATTATAAACTTTTTTAAGCCCAATGATATTTTTATAAATCTATTTAAAAAAATCTTAAAATAATTTTAGACCCCCTTTTCGAAACCTTTTTTTGGGGGCCCTACCCCTTGGCCCGGCCTTGTCTCCCGCAGATAAAATATCATCTTTTAAAGATTTCCAATCAACATAAGCAGAAAAAGAAGAAACACAGGTATCATCAACTGAATCTGAATAAACGCTCATATATTGATAGGGGTAAAAATTAACAAACAAGTCTTCTCTGAGGTCATGATTTCAATTACAGCAAATGAAACAGATATATTCCAACAACAGAATTCAATGGGGATTTTAGAAGCTTTTCAACAGCAAATACCTATCTTCTATAATAAAAATTAAAACGTTCTTCTAAATTGTCAAAAACTAAGTAGGGTCCCAAGCTCATTTGAAAGATCAAGGAGATATTACAAAAACCAGGCACATAGACCGACCATATAGTGTGCCTTCAAATATATATTCCACTTAAAAATCTGCATTTTCTCAACCACATAGTGGCCCCTTTTGGTGCGTAAGCCATCAAACAAAAGAGACTGAAAAGCATATACATAAACGTATCTGTGTTAATGGGTTGAAGAGGCACCTGTGTTGCCCAATCCCATCTTCTGTCCCAACGATGCAAGCTGATCAACAAACTCCGCTCCTGTGAGAATCTCTGTTGTTCCATATATAACATGCTTAATAGGCTGCTGACGCTTTGCAAGCTCTTGCAAGCTGCCATACTCCATATAGTTACCACCACCAATCATGAAAACAATAGCTTCTTTAAAAGGTCCCTTTAGTTGGCTGCTACCAGAGCCTGTCTTAGGAGCACGAGGATCAAACATGAGGTACGGATCAATTTCTGGATTTGGTTTCCCCTCCATCAAAGCTTCCACAGTCCTTGTCAATGCTAGCTGCCTGTCACTAGATAATAGATTCTTCACACCAGCCGTCACAGCACTGATTGACTGCCCATATAGTTTCTCTGCCCAATCAACAATGTTATTTCTACTTGCGGAATTTGCTGATGCCATTGAGACATTCAATGATTTCATCTTCTTCACATATTGAAATGCACTACTATCAACCTCAGCCTCCCTAAGTGCTGCTTCCACAGCCTCTACTTCTGACGGATTAATAGTTTCTGAAGAAATTAGATACAAAATTGCAAACCGCAATTTATCCATCTTATTGCCTTTTCCTTTAAGTACAGCTAGCAGTTCACTTCGATCTATGCCTCCTCTGACCAGCATGTCATTTTCCTTTTTTGCATAAGAATCAAGAGACCTCTCCTTGATCTCACCCAATAATACAGTTGCAATGTTTGTGTGTTTATCAATCACCTGCTTCCTCTCCGTCAATTCAGGCAGCGAGTTCACTGCATTCATCAAGTGCTTTGTGTTTCCAATTAAGTCAGTCCCATCGAACTCAGCACCACCAGTTCCCCCCGTTCTCTTATTCACTTCATCAACATCCTTCTTATACTTTGTCAGTTGAGTCTCAATCTCCACTGCCACTTCAGGAAATTCCAACCACCCATTTGCCACCCAAAATGGATCTGAACTGTCTAACTCAAACGACTTCATCCCACCCTTTTCACCCTGCACACTCAATCTGTTAAGCTTCAAACCCCAGTACATCATGTACGAGTGGCCTGTATCGAAAATCATGTTGTATCCCAACTGAAAGCTCAAAATTCCTGTCAAAAAGACACAAAATCGGATGCTGAAATGAGCTCACAAAATTCCCACCTTCAGAAAATAAATTGTTCTTAGACAACAAATGATCCCTCAATTTCTGATCCAATGCAGAAGCAACCATCTCTGCCGGCCCACCATGTGGACACCTTATGATCGGCACCACCCCTACAGTAGCCAACACACAAAACAACCCACCAACAATCTTCTCAATAATCTCCTCGATTTCTCTATCCCCAGCTTTTGGATCATTCAACTGAACATAACTACTCTTCTGAGCCAATGAAAACAAATTATCCTCTAAAGTCACAAACTCCAAATACTGATCATGGACCTTTGAGATCCTCTGAATCGAATCCGAATTCAATGTCCTAGATGCCAAATCTTCAAGCAGTGCACGAGGTATTGAGGACGAAAAATTCAGGTGGAAACTATCATAAAGTGAAGCCGAAGAATCAGCTATAATTCTTTGTATATTCTGTTGATTTGCTTGAACAAAATATACAGCAGGCACATCATGAACAGGCTTACGATCTTTATCAATCAGAAAATAAAGGGTCACCCCATGTTTGCGAAGATCCTTAACATGGATCAACGGTGACAAAACCTATCATAGATCAAGATCTTATAAACCTCTACATTTGCCGTCCCAGTCGCATTCACAGGCTGATTCAGATTCAACATTCTAGTAATACATTCTGCACAGAAAAAAATATCAACTACCAGATCAGATAAAATAACATTTTCCTCAAACAAAAAACCAAACATGGGTTTTAATTAAACAACTAAACTTCTAGTATATCATATTGAAAGTTCCAATTCTGCATTAAAAGATTATAAACACCGAAGGAATTCTGGTAAAAGTCCGTGCACAATAATCTTAATTAACATATCAGATTCAAAGACATTTCAATTAAATTAGCCAACCAACAACAATAACATAGATCACAGAAACACAACATAAAACAACTAAGCTTCTTGTATTTCATACTGAAACTTCCAATTCCGCATTAAAATTAACCATAAAAAAAGGATTCTCGTTAAATAATAAAAAAGAAAAAAAAACAAATGGTGTTCATATTAATTCTGTTTTATACGCGCTAAGTTTATCGATCAATTAAGAGATCTAAAGAGAAAGAGAAAGTTACCAGTTTGTTTTTGGCGAAGATTGAGAGCCATGGGAGCTTGAAATCTGAATTTGAGTGAAGTTTTCTTTATTCAGTTTTTGGTGAGAGCAGATGCAGAGACTTGAAAGGGGCAAAAATGGTGGAGATGTTAAAATTGTTTTCGTGCGGTGCGTTTCGTACAATTTTTGTTTTTTATTTTTCATTTTAAACCAGAGTGACACGTCATCAACTGATTTCCACCGTCTGAAATGTCTAAGCTGAACAATCAGAATTTTTTGTTTTCGATTTAATTTTGTGTTTTCAGTTTATGGGAAAATAAATTAAGGACGTGTTTGGTTTGGTTAAAAAAAATTAAAAACGGACAGAAACCAAATAAAATAATTAAAATTATCGCTAATAATACAATTTTTGTAAAAATTAAATCTCGAAAATATCCTCCTATATTAACTAAACAGAACCCAAATAAAATACAAAACACAAAAATATTTTTAAAAAAATAAATAAAGACAACATATTTTTTATCCAAACGCAGCCTTAATGTCACTGATTACAAGTAACGCAGAGGGAGCACAAGAAAAGAAGAAGCTAAAAGCGGTAGTAAACATGGCAACGACACCGTTGTTTCGGAACAAGTACTGGGTTCTAAGGCACGGCAAAAGCATTCCAAACGAGAAAGGACTTGTAGTTTCTTCATTGGCTCGTCTCTCCACCTTGTTTAATCAAATCACGTGCTAATCATATGCGCATTTGCCACTTGAAAGTGTTTTCTTATGCAGAAAGGGAGAGATTTTCTGACCATCTAATTTGGGAAAAAATGCCACTTGAAAGCGTTTTCTGGAGTTATTGATCCAATTCCAACCAATTTGCAACAACAAACAACACAAAAATATGCCCTAAACTCAAGCTTAAATTCGGCTAAACACAAATAGAGGCAATGTCACACTTACTTGCAATTTTAGGTTAAGACAAGAATGAACACTTCAAGCATAAAGGAATTCTCCACCAACTTGAATCGATTCACCACCAAATCTCCTTGTCAAGACTTGGATAAAGAAATCTCAATAAGAACACAAAGTTCTCTCAATGGTTAAACCAAATTTTTGATATTTCATGAACTAACTTTTACTAGGAGAATAGTTGCCTTTATATAGGCAATTACAAGGTTAAAAGAGTAATCAACAAATACAATACAAGAAAATAAAAATTAATAAATATTACACAAAAATTACAAGCCTTCAATTCAGAAAATAAGGCCATACCCATTTAATGCAAAATGGTCATGAATCCCTATGGTTCATGTCTTTAACCACCCCATTAGTTGAAAAAACTCACTTTATTAGCCCAAAACTTGATCAATGAGCCTAATCAAGTCTACTAATAAGGGTGTAAGAGATTGGACCTTGAAGATCTTACAAATGGATCCAATAAGGGTTCAAGTGGACTTTCCCCTTTGGAATGAGAATTGAGCCGAATGGGTTCACTTCAACACTTGGGCTTCTCTCTTGGTGGACTTGAGCTTCCTTTGTTGGGCTTGGACTTGGAATGGTTTGGGCCGAAGTGCTTGGGCTCTCTCTCCCCTTGGAACTTGCTTGGGCCGAATCTCCTCCAATGCTTTCCACACTCCACAATCCAAGTGTTTTAGGACTTGGAATGAAAGGAATGAAACTCTTTGATTCAACCGAATTAGCAAGTGTTTTAGGACTTGTAATTCCTTGTCCACTCATGTTTACAAGTGTTTTAAGACCTGTAAACGTATCAGTTATCTTCTGGGAGTTATTAATGGTGTTTAATGACGATAGGAAAATGGAACCCGTCCTGAGTATCTATTGGCATCAGAAGGTGTCAATCAAGCTCAATTGGCTGGAGAATTACTCCTGAAGGTAATTACATTTGATGCATCCCATGCCATAAATTGATGTTATTTTGCCTCGATGAATTGCCTACAAGTTTCCTTTAATTGAAGATGTTCTTTCAGACCAAGGTTATCTTGTAAATTACTGTTTGGAATTTGGAATCTAGGGGTGGGATAATCCGGTTAACCGAACCGGTTTATCCAAATCGAAAACCAAACCGGTTTTTCGGTTTAGAGAAAATCCAAACCAAAAATCGGACTGGTTTCGGTTAAAAACCGAATGTAAACCGAATCGAATTTTCGGTTCGGTTACCGGTTAACCGGTTTTCAAAATTACCTTTAATTCTTAAAATTCTTCAATGTTTCATTTAAGTCCCTAAATTCATATATTTATTATTTTATATATAATAATCTTTTTGCTTTTATATTTAGGGTAAAAACCGGTTTGAAAATTTTTTCAAACTGAAAACCAAACCGGTTTGTAAAAAAACCTAATTTTTGGTTCGGTTATCGGTTCGGTTCAGTTTTTAGATTATTTATCCTACCCTTATTGGAATCGATATCTGTTTGAAGTAAGTATTGAATGCAGAAGGGAGATTGTTTAGTTGTTAAGTTTAAAACTGGACCTGGCTTGGGGGGTAATTAGTAATAGCTTAAGTGGAGGATGTGTTCAATAGATCATGAGGACTTATTGAAGTACGCGTAAACTGGCCCGAACAGCCGATTACTTAAAAAAAAAAAAAAGGCCCTTTTTTAAGGCTAAATTAAGACACCTTACTTGATTAATAATTTATTTATTTATTTTGATAACCGGGGTTTAATCCTCGAGAGCTACTGAACAACTTATTGAACAATGAATCAAGTAAGTTATAAATGTGATAAGTAGTCATTATACTCGAACACAAGACCTTTGGGTAACTCACCCAGATGGCTAAGGTCTTGTCATACAGTCCCAAGCCCAATGGTTTTGATTAATAATTTTTTGAGTAATAAAGATTGGCTCACAACTCAATCATACGAACTTTCTCTTACAATTCCAATGTGACAGCTCGCAAATGAGTCTCGTTTGCTCGTTACGAGTCCTACCTACCCAATTGCTAAAGTTTGTGATATTAAATTATAAGTATAGTATTACCCTTTCTTAAGACATGGCATAATACACCAATTCAAGGTAAATAGCATGGGTGCGTTTGACTTATTGTTTTTATCCATATTCTCAATCCTATTCTTCAAATGTTGTTTAGCACGTTATTCCCAAAATATTAGTCTATTTTTTTAAGTATTTTTAGACCCCACAAGTTTATTAATTTCATTAAATACCCCCAAAAAAAAGTTTAAAAACTAACAAAAACACCCCCACCCACCAATACTTGCCAGATTTCGGCAACCAACGCCGATGGTAGCTAGAATCTGTCACAACAGTCACACGACCACCGAAAATGGCCAGTAATGGCCAGATCTGGCATTTTCTGGCCAGATCTGGCAGTCAACGACGACCATATCTTTGGCCATCGCTGACGGCCAAAGATGGCCTTTTTCGACCGTCGAAGGCCACATCCGGCCTTAGATCTGGTCTTTTCCAACCAGATCCATGGTGGATATGGCCGGAAAATGCCATATCGATCGAATACCCGCTAGATCCAACCAGTATGTGTGGTTATCCAATTTTTCGGCGGCGGTGGTGGCCGAAATCTGGTACTGCAGGTGGTAGGGGTGTTTTTATCATTTTACAATATTTTAATATATTAGGGTGTTTATTAAATTACCAAACCTTGATGGCTTTTTCATAAATTTTTAAATTTTATATTGTAATACTCTCCTATCCAACTATCAAATACTATCCCCAAAATCCTACCCAAAATAATAAACCAAACGCACCCATTGCTGTTTTATTTATCTCGTTTTCTTCTTCTTTTTCAACGTATTCCCTTCTATTTCTGACCATCCAAGATGGAAGAGAATCAGTTCCCTGTCTCTTCCACAATCAAAAGAACAAGGGGAATATTGGCATCTACTTCACCCACCCCAATACTCTGATAATCTCTGATAATTTATCACCACTTGACCAGAACAAAAATGCTTAACATGCAGCAATCAATAAGCAAAAATTGGATGTAGTTGATTGCCATTCAGCATGATCTTTTCATTTAAAAGCCGAAATCAAATACTGCAACAGCAGGAATGAAATATAATGTACATTTTTTTATTCCCCAGCTGAATATGATCTTTTCATTGAAAAGCCGAAATCAAATACTGCAACAGCAGGAATGAAATATAATGTACATTTTTTTATTCCTCAGCTGAATGAAGTATATATATATATATATATCCTCATCATCAGAAGAACATGTAAAATGTAATAATAATAAGTTTTGAGTTTGAATCTGCGACTCTTTAAATGGGTTTAAAAGACACTATAACCATTCTTAGGTACTAAGGTAAACAAAGACACTAAATAGCTAATAAAACTTAATGCCTAAACTACAGGACACGACCATCCGTTTACCGACTTGTGAAGACTTGATCAACACTTGATTTCCTTCAACCCGTACGCCAAGTACAGAAAAGTTGGATCGGTTGCACCTTCTTTGTAGTATGCAAACACCACGCCGCCATCATCGTGCATGCTCTCACCCACGAAACTGCAATGAGAACTCAACTAGATAAGATATTCGATATTCTACGACGAAATATACCTTTAGATTTTATCATGTGAGAAGTTAAGCATCATGTGACAACTATTGCTCCTATAAGACAGTATCAATATGAAGAACAAGGGGCAGGGCATACAATTGAAGGTCACTGAGCTTAGATAGCAGGAACTTGGTTGCCGATTCGATATGCTTCTTAAACAACTCTTGCTTCTCTGCCTCCAATTTTGGTGTCAGCAATTTAATGTACCTCTTCATGAAGGTGACAAATTGCTTCTTGTCGTAAGCAGGTTGCTCCTGTGAATCACAAAACTCAACTATTTAGAACACCTATACAAGTGAAACCTCAGCAGTAAATCATCCAAAGCAATTCAATTCACCCACCTGAAGCCTGAAAGTATCAACAATGTCGACAACCTTGATAGCTTGGTCATCAACACCTTCATCTTCGCCGCCATCTTCTGCAGAAGGGTTGGCCCCAATGTCTACATCAACTGCTCCTTGAAAAACCCACTGCCAAGACGTTAATCATATGAAAATGTTAAGGGACAATCATCGTCGAGTTTTCAAGAGTTCAGTAAATCTAAATTCTAGTCAAAACATCAAAAAACTAACTAAGACATCAATATCAAGAGACAATCAAAATAGGAAATTGTTCATGATACAATATCAAAGAAGATTGAGATTAAGAACTAACTTTTCCTTCTACTTCCCAAAGCATTCCATTCTCAATTTCCTTGTATGGGAATGAATCTGAGAGAAGTTCATCACCTGAAAGTTGATCAACCCCAACAAAGTTTAGCAACAAAAACACAAAAACAAAAACAAAACAACGTCAAACTCACCAATCAAAACTACAATCTTCTCAATCATAAAAATCAAGTAATACCCTTAACTCAAAATTTAATCCTCAGCCCAACAGAAAACATCAGAAAATATATTTAAAAAAAAAAAANATTATAAAATAAGAAATCAAAACATTAATTCTTATAATTACACATCTATTAAATTATAATCTTCTCATAATAATAAATTTAATTAGTTCTAATATTATGACATAGAGAGGGTATATACTCTCTATTATGGGTATTTTGAATTTTTTAATGTTCCAATCAAAGATTGATATCTAGCTACGAGCTTTGATTTTGCATTTGTTAAGTTAGTGACTAGTCATCAACTTCTCATTCACACGTTAAAAAGTTTGATACCAAAGATGGATTATAAATACACAATAGTTATTAGTTGACCCACATGTAAGAATAAAAATAAATCAATTTTTAAATATTTATAGCTTATTAGATGAACATATTGAAGTAATTTAATTGAATATATAAATAAAAAAATTGAAATTTTTTCTATTTACATATATAATCTAGGACGAGGAATACTTATGTTAAAATGTTTGAAGATTTTTCGAGGTGCAAAAAAAAATTACAATAAATTTTTGGAAATATTAGTGAGAATTGTAGTGTATATGAAAGTTAAGACTATCTATCAATGAGTAGTTTAGATTAGGGGTGTTCAAAAGAACCGGTTGGAACCGGAACCGGAATCGGTGGGTACCCTGGGTTTAGTTCCGGTTCCTACCCAGAACCAGTCGTCAATGGATAAGTTCCGGTTCCAAATTTTTGGAACCGTTACTGTGCGGTTCCGGTTCCGGTTCCTATAGTTAGGAACCAGGAACAAGGAACCGAGACTAATATAAAATAAAATTAAAGATTAGGGGAATTAATATAAACTTTTGTAGAAAAAATAATGTGAATACATTTATATTTATATTTCATAACATTTAAAGTAAGTTGGTTTGACTTTTGAGAATCTACCTTTACAAAATAATGGAGTTTGTAATTTTGAATTTATAATTTGTAATTTTATTTTTGTTAACAAGTGCCAGGTGGGGGGGTATTTGTAAGTTTTTAAAGTTTTTTTGCCATTTTAAAAACTTTTGGGGGGTCATGTAATTTTACAGGGTACCTAGAACCGGAACCGGAACCGTTGTTACAGGTTCTGGTTCTGGGTACCTAGGAACCGGAACCGTCGGTTCCGGTTCTGGTTCTAAATTTCAAGGAACTGTCGGTTCCGGTTCCGGTTCCGGTTCCAGCAAAAAGTGTAGGGTACCCAGAACCGAACACCCCTAGTTTAGATGGTTAGGGCTAAATAGAAAGATAATGTGGATAAACACAAAGTCTTATTTTTCAATTTGAGTATCTAGGGTTTAAATGGGGAGTTGTGATGGTAGATTCCTATGCTAGACTCTTATGAGGATAATCTCTTAATGATTGCACCAAAATCTATAAATAATTAAGTTGACCAAGGATCCTAAGTCTAAAGAATCAGATTGGGTTCAATTAGAAGCAATGGAAACCCATTTTTCAAGTGGGCTACTATAAAAAGATAAAGCAAGAAAATGAATAATGGTTAGCTTAGTTTTACAAGTGGCTAAGAATATCCATTGCGTAGAGACGTATTCCATTAAGAGTAATACTATACTCACTAATTTTTCTTATAAATGCCATATGTCAGCTCACAATTAGTCATCTCGCATGGGGTTTGCCTGTTCAATAATGAGTCCCGCCTGACCAAGTCAATTGCAAGTTGACTCATGGGGTTAGTGAGAGGTGTTAGTGAGGCTAGTATTATCCTTCCATTAAATATCTTGGTGAGACTAGAAGAACTTATTCTACTATTTTGACCTTGAGACCACTATTTTTTTACTACCCATATATTTGTTGGAAAATAATACAGTCACCGAAAGTAGCGCACCGAATTCATTCACTGAATGATATGGCGAAATCCTGACCGTTGATTAATTATGAATTAATATTAATCAACGGTCAGAATTACGTTACGTCATTCGGTGCATGAGTTCGGTTCACTACTTTCGGTGACTGTAGCATTACTCATATTTGTTTTCAATAAGAATGACCCATATGGCTAGCTAGCACATGAAAATTCAATATGTTTTTATTGGACTCAATTTGCTTACAGCATGATTTGGCTCTCAAAAACTTACCAAGTTGTAATATGAATGTAATGATAGGTTAAAAGCATAGAGTATTATATCAATATTGATTTTTCAACACCCCTAAATTGATAAAGATGAATAGTTTATAATTAATTTGTACATTAAAAATTTCACGATATTTGCACATTAATTACACATAAAATATAACCTCTTTATATAGATACTTTATATAGGAATAACTTCTATGTAGTCATAAAAAATTCTGATTCCCACTTAGACCAGTTTTAAATAAGAACAAATTTCACATTGTAATAAGTTATAATTTTTTTAGGTTCTGTCTTAAGAAACTTGTCTCTACATAGTAATAACTATATGTATGTTACAAAAAAATATATGTTATATGTTATATTAAATGCTTAAGACGAAATAAAATATTTATCTAAAGTTGTTTTGGACAATGTTTGATGCTTTAGAGTTATTACTACATTTTTTATCTTGTGGGTACGTAATAAGTTGTTAGCATGGACACGTTTTTGTTTAAGTCAAAATATTTCTAGCTTCTCAAACATATTTAGAGCTTCTTAGTATGAAACTTTTGGTAATTCCGTACTATCATTCTCAGGATTATATTCTTCCTCTTCTTGTCGAATTTGATCACTTAATTTTGCAGTGACTTTTTTATATCAATTTCTGTACTATCCTAATGCTACTAAAACAATGAACTGAAAATGCTAATACTATTAAAACATGAATTGAAATCTTAATACTACTTAAACATGAATTAAAATCATAATACTACTAAAACATGAATTATAAAATAAGAAATCCAAACAGTCTTCTCTGGGTCATGATTTCAATTACAGCAAATGAAACAGATAATTCCAACAACAGAATTCAATGGGATTTTAGAAGCTTTTCAACAGCAATACCTATCTCCTATAATAAAAGTTAAAACGTTCTTCTAAATTGTCAAAAATAAGTAGGGTCCCAAGCTCATTGAAAGATCAAGGAGATATTACAAAACCAGGCACATAGACCGACCATATAGTTGGCCTTCAAATATATATTCCACTCAAAAATCTGCATTTTCTCAACCACTAGTGGCCCCTTTTGGTGCGTAAGCCATCAAACAAAAGACTCTGAAAAGCATATACATAACGTATCTGTGTTACCAGGTTGAAGAGGCACCTGTGTTGCCCAATCCCATCTTCTGACCCAACGATGCAAGCTGATCAACAAACTCACTCCTGTGAGAATCTCTGTTGTTCCATATATAACATGCTAATACTGCTGACGCTTGGCAAGCTCTTGCAAGCTGCCATACTCCATATAGTTACCACCACCAATCATGAAAACAATACTTCTTTAAAAGGTCCCTTCAGGTGGCTGCTACCAGAGCCTGACTTAGGAGCACGAGGATCAACATGAGGTACGGATCAATTTCTGGATTTGGTTCCCCTCCATCAAAGCTTCCACAGTCCTTGTCAATGCTAGCTGCCTGTCAGTAGACAATAGATTCTTCACACCAGCCGTCACAGCACTGATTGACTGCCCATGTAGTTTCTCTGCCCAATCAACAATGTTATTTCTACTCGCGGAATTCATCTTCTTCACATACTGAATGCACTACTATCAACCTCAGACTCCCTAAGTGCTGCTTCCACAGCCTCTACTTCTGACGATTAATAGTTTCTGAAGAAATTAGATACAAAATTGCAAACCGCAATTTACCATCTTACTGCCTTTTCCTTTAAGTACAGCTAGCAGTTTCACTTCGATCTATGCCTCCTCTGACCAGCATGTCATTTTCCTTTTTGCATAAGAATCAAGAGACCTCTCCTTGATCTCACCCAATAATACAGTTGCAATGTTTGTGTGTTTATCAATCAACTGCTTCCTCTCCGTCAGTTCAGGCAGCAAGTTCACTGCATTCATCAAGTGCTTTGTGTTTCCAATTAAGTCAGTCCCATCGAACTCAGCACCACCAGTTTCCCCCCGTTCTCTTTTTCACTTCATCAACATCCTTCTTATACTTAGTCAGTTGAGTCTCAATCTCCACTGCCACTTCAGGAAATTCCAACCACCCATTTGCCACCCAAAATGGATCTGAACTGTCTAACTCAAACAACTTCATCCCACCCTTTTCCACCCTGCACACTCAATCTGTTAAGCTTCAAACCCCAGTACATCATGTACAGTGGCCTGTATCGAAAATCATGTTGTATCCCAACTGAAAGCTCAAAATTCCTGTCAAAAGACACAAAATCGGATGCTGAATGAGCTCACAAAATTCCACCTTCAAACATAAATTGTTCTTAGACACAAATGATCCCTCAATTTCTGATCCAATGCAGAACACCCATCTCTGCCGGCCACCATGTGACACCTTATGATCGGCACCACCCCTACAGTAGCCAACACACAAACAACCCCCACCATCTCCTCAATATCTCCTTGATTTCTCTATCCCCAGCTTTTGGATCATTCAACTGAACATAACTACTCTTCTACCCAATAAACAAATGATCCTCTAAAGTCACAAACTCCAAATACTGATCATGACCTTTGAGATCCTCTGAATCGAATCCGAATTCAATGTCCTAGATGCCAAATCTTCAAGCAGTGCCGAGGTATTGAGGACGAAAAATTCAGGTAGAAACTATCATAAGTGAAGCCGAAGAATCAGCTATAATTCTTTGTATATTCTGTTGATTTGTTTAACAAAATATACAGCAGGCACATCATGAACAGGCTTACGACCTTTATCAATCAAAATAAAGGTCACCCCATGTTTGCGAAGATCCTTAACAGGATCACCGGTGACAAAACCTATCTAGATCAAGATCTTATAAACCTCTACATTTGCCGTCCCTCGCATTCACAGGTTGATTCAGATTCAACATTCTAGTAATACATTCTGCACAGAAAAAAATATCAACTACCAGATCAGATAAAATACATTTTCCTCAAATAAAAAACCAAACATAGGTTTTAATTAAACGACTAAACTTCTAGTATATCATATTGAAAGTTCCAATTCTGCATTAAAAGATTATAACACCGAAGGAATTCTGGTAAAAGTCGTGCACAATAATCTTAATTACATATCAGATTCAAAGACATTTCAATTAAATGCCAACCAACAACAATAACATAGATCACAGAAAACAACATAAAACAACTAAGCTCTTCTATATTCATACTGAAATTCCAATTCCGCATTAAAATTAACCATAAAAAAAGGATTCTCGTTAAATAATAAAAAAAAAAAAAAACAAATGGTGTTCATATTAATTCTGTTTATACGCGCTAAGTTTATCGATCAATAAGAGATCTAAAGAAAGAGAAAGTTACCGTTTTTTTTGGCGAAGATTGAAGCCATGGGAGCTTGAAATCTGAATTTGAGTGAAGTTTTCTTTATTCAGTTTTTGGTGAGAGTAGATGCAGAGACTTGAAAGTAAGGGCAAATGGTGGAGAGTGTAAAATTGTTTTCGTGCGGTGCGTTTCGTACAATTTTTGTTTTTTATTTTTCATTTTAACCAGAGTACACGTCACAACTGATTTCCACCGTCTGAAATGTCTAAGCTGAACATCAGAATTTTTTGTTTTCGATTTATTTTTGTGTTTTCATTTTATGGGAAAATAAATTAAGGACTGTGTTTGGTTTGGTTAAAAAAAATTAAAACGGACAGAAACCAATAAATAATTAAAATTATTGCTATAATGTTTACATTTTTCGTAAAAATTAAATCTCGAAAATATCCTCCTATATTAACTAAACAGAACCCAAATAAAATACAAAACACAAAAATATTTTTAAAAATAAATAAAGACAAACATATTTTTTATCCAAACGCAGCCTTAATGTCACTGATTACAATAACGCAGAGGGAGCACAAGAAAAGAAGAAGCTAAAAGCGGTAGTAAACATGGCAACGACACCGTTTTCTTCGGAACCAAGCACTGGGTTCTAAGCGCCGGCAAAAGCATTCCAAACAGAAAGGACTTATAGTTTCTTCATTGGCTCGTCTCTCCACCTTGTTTAATCAAATCACGTGCTAATCATATGCGCATTTGCCACTTGAAAGTGTTTTCTTATGCAGAAAGGAGAGATTTTCTGACCATCTAATTTGGGAAAAATGCCACTTGAAAGCGTTTTCTGGAGTTATTGATCCAATTCCACACCATTTTGCAACAACAAACACACAAATATGCCCTAAACTCAGCTTAATTCGGCTAAACACAAATAGAGGCAATGTCACACTTACTTGCAATTTTAGTTAAGACAAGAATGAACACTTCAAGCATAAAGGAATTCTCCACCACTTGAATCGATTCACCACCAAATCTCCTTGTCAAGACTTGGAAAAGAAATCTCAATAAGAAACACAAAGTTCTCTAATGGTTAAACCAAATTTTTGATATTTCATGAACTAACTTTTACTAGGATAGTTGCCTTTATATAGGCAATTACAAGGTTAAAGAGTAATCAACAAATACAATACAAGAAATAAAAATTATAATATTTACACAAAATATACAAGCCTTCAATTCAGAAAATAAGGCCATACCCTTTAATGCAAAATGGTCATGAATCCCTATGGTTCATGTCTTTAACCACCCCATTAGTTAAAAAACTCACTTATTAGCCCAAACTTGATCAATGAGCCTATCAATTCTACTAATAAGGGTGTAAAGATTGGACCTTGAAGATCTTACAAATGGATCCAATAAGGGTTCAGTGGACTTTCCCCTTTGGAATGAAATTGAGCCGAATGGTTCACTTCAACTTGGGCTTCTCTCTTGGTGGACTTGAGCTTCCTTTGTTGGGCTTGGACTTGGAATGGTTTGGGCCGAATTGCTTGGCTCTCTCTCCCCTTGGAACTTGCTTGGGCCGAATCTCCTCCATGTTTTCCACACTCCACAATCCAAGTGTTTTAGGACTTGGAATGAAACTCTTTGATTCAACCGATTAGCAAGTGTTTTAGGACTTGTATTCCTTGTCCACTCATGTTTACAAGTGTTTTAAGACCTGTAACGTATCAGTTATCTTCTGGGAGTTATTAATGGTGTTTAATGACGATAGGAAAATGGAACCCGTCCTGAGTATCTATTGGCATCAGAAGTGTCAATCAAGCTCAATTGGCTGGAGAATTACTCCTGAAGGTAATTACATTTGATGCATCCCATGCCATAAATTGATGTTATTTTGCCTCGATGAATTGCCTACAAGTTTTCCTTTAATTGAAGATGTTCTTTCAACCAAGGTTATCTTGTATACGGTTTGGAATTTGAATCTAGGGGTGGGATAATCCGGTTAACCGACCGGTTTATCCAAATCGAAAACCAAACCGGTTTTTCGTTTAGAGAAAATCCAAACCAAAAACGGACTGGTTTCGGTTAAAAACCGAATGTAAACCGAATCGAATTTTCGGTTCGGTTACCGGTTAACCGGTTTTCAAAATTCCTTTAATTCTTAAAATTCTTCAATGTTTCATTTAAGTCCCTAATTCATATATTTATTATTTTTATATATAAATCTTTTTGCTTTTATATTTAGGGTAAAAACCGGTTTGAAATTTTTTCAAACTGAAAACCAAACCGGTTTGTAAAAAAACCTATTTTTGGTTCGGTTATCGGTTCGGTTCAGTTTTTAGATTATTATCCTACCCTTATTGGAATCGATATCTGTTTGAAGTAAGTATTGAATGCAGAAGGGAGATGGTTTAGTTGTTAAGTTTAAAACTGGACCTGGCTTGGGGGGTAATTAGTAATAGCTTAAGTGGAGATGTGTTCAATAGATCATGAGGACTTATTGAAGTACGCGTAACTGCCCGAACAGCCGATCCTTAAAAAAAAAAAGCCCTTTTTTAAGGCTAAATTAAGACACCTTACTTGATTAATATTATTTTATTATTTTTATACCGGGGTTTAATCCTCGAGAGCTACTGAACAACTTATTGAACAATAATCAGTATTTATAATGTGTATAATAGTCATTATACTCGAACACAAGACCTTTGGGTAACTCACCAGATGGCTAAGGTCTTGTCATACAGTCCCAAGCCCATGGTTTTGATTAATAATTTTTGAGTAATAAAGATTGGTCACCAACTCAATCATACGAACTTTCTCTTACAATTCCAATGTGACAGCTCGCAAATGAGTCTCGTTTGCTCGTTACGATGTCCTACCTACCCAATTGCTAAAGTTTGTGTATTATTATAAGTATAGTATTACCCTTTCTTAAGACATGGCATAATACACCCAATTCAAGGTAAATAGCATGGGTCGTTTGACTTATGTTTTTATCCATATTCTCAATCCTATTCTCAAATTTTTTTAGCACGTTTATTCCCAAAATATAGTCTATTTTTTTAAGTATTTTTAGACCCCACAAGTTTATTAATTTCATTAAACCCCCAAAAAAAGTTTAAACTAAAAAAAACACCCCCCACCCACCAATACTTGCCAGATTTCGCAACCAACCGATGGTAGCTAGAATCTGTCACAACAGTCACACACCACCGAAAATGGCCAGTAATGGCCAGATCTGGCATTTCTGGCCAGATCTGGCATTCAAGCGACGACCATATCTTTGGCCATCGCTGACGGCCAAAGATGGCCTTTTTCGACCGTCGAAGGCCACATCCGGCCTTAGATCTGGTCTTTTCCAACCAATCCATGGTGGATATGGCCGAAAATCCCATATCGATCGATACCCGCTAGATCCAACCAGTATGTGTGGTTATCCAATTTTTCGGGCGCGTGGTGGCCGAAATCTGGTACTGCAGGTGGTAGGGTTGTTTTACATTTTACAATATTTAATATATTAGGGTGTTTATTAAATTACCAACCTTGATGGCTTTTTCATAAATTTAAATTTTATATTGTAATACTCTCCTATCCAACTATCAATACTATCCCCAAAATCCTACCCAAAATAATAAACCAAACGCACCCATCTGTTTTATTTCTCGTTTTCTTCTTCTTTTTCAACGTATTCCCTTCTATTTCTGACCACCAAGATGAAAGAACAGTTCCCTGTCTCTCCAATCAAAAGAACAAGGGAATATTGGCATCTACTCACCCACCCCATACTTATAATCTCTGTATATATTCACCACTTGACCGAACAAAAATGCTTAACATGCAGCAATCAATAAGCAAAAATTGGATGTAGTTGATTGCCATTCAGCATGATCTTTTCATTTAAAGCCGAAATCAAATACTGCAACACCAGGAAATAAATATAATGTACATTTTTTTATTCCTCAGCTGAATGAAGTATATATATATCCTCATCATCAAAGAACATGTAAATGTAATAATAATAAGTTTTGGTTTGAATCTGCGACTCTTTAATGGGTTTAAAACACTATAACCATTCTTAGGTACTAAGGTAAAAAACCTAAAATGCTAATAAAACTTAATGCCTAAACTACAGGACACGACCATCCTTTTACCGACTTGTGAAGACTTGATCAACACTTGATTTCCTTCAACCCGTACGCCAAGTACAGAAAAGTTGATCGGTTGCACCTTCTTTGTAGTATGCAAACACCACGCCCGCATCATCGTGCATGCTCTCACCCACGAAACTGCAATGAGAACTCAACTAGATAAGATATTCGATATTCTACACGAAATATACCTTTAGATTTTATCATGTGAGAATTAAGCATCATGTGACAACTATTGCTCCTATAAGACAGTATCAAATTGAAGAACAGGCAGGGCATACAATTGAAGGTCACTGAGCTTAGATAGCAGGAACTTGGTTGCCGATTCGATATGCTTCTTAAACAACTCTTGCTCTCTGCCTCCAATTTTGGTGTCAGCAATTTAATGTACCTCTTCATGAAGGTGACAATTGCTTCTTGTCGTAGCAGGTTGCTCCTGTGAACACAAAACTCAACTATTTAGAACACCTATACAAGTGAAACCTCAGCAGTAAATCATCCAAAGCAATTCAATTCACCTACCTGAAGCCTGAACTATCAACAATGTCGACAACCTTGATAGCTTGGTCATCAACACCTTCATCTTCGCCGCCATCTTCTGCAGAAGGGTTGGCCCCAATGTCTACATCAACTGCTCCTTGAAAAACCCACTGCCAAGACATTAATCATATGAAAAGTTTAGGGACAATCATCGTCGAGTTTTCAAGAGTTCTAAATCTAAATTCTAGTCAAAACATCAAAAACTAACTAAGACATCAATATCAAGAGACAATCAAAATAGGAAATTGTTCATGATACAATATCAAAGAAATTGAGATTAAGAACTAACTTTTCCTCTACTTCCCAAGCATTCCATTCTCAGTTTCCTTGTATGGGAATGAATCTGAGAGAAGTTCATCACCTGAAAGTTGATCAACCCCAACAAAGTTTAGCAACAAAAACACAAAAACAAAAACAAACAACGTCAACCTCACCAATCAAAACTACAATATTCTCAATCATAAAAATCAAGCAATACCCTTAACTAAAAATTTAATTCTCAGCCCAACAGAAAACATCAGAAAATATTAAAAAAAAAAAATAGTTCACAATTATGTAAAAAAATTAAATAAACAAACACCTTTTTCATCCTATTATGTAAAGATAATAAATTTATCCCAAAAAAAAAAAAAAAAATCTTGCATGAGAATTACAGATCAAATAAACATTCAATACTAACATACCATTATTATATGTTTCTCATACCATAAAAATCATCAAAAAGGTACTTTGAGAAAGTGATTTTTACCTGTGAGAAGATCCTGGTAAACTACATCTTTAGTTAAGAGTGATAATTTGATTAAGTTTGTGAGTTAAATTTTGATTCAGAAAGAAATAAGAGAAATTGAGAGCGTCTTGAGTGTCTTTCGCTGGCAGAGGCGGTGAGTACTTATAGTGAAGAGTGTTATACGTGGGGCCAAAGATTGTAACCATGAAATTACGAATTTGGCCTTGCATTTATGTTAAAATTCCAATATTGCTTGTGTATTGAGTTTTGGCCACACAATAGTTATTAGTTGACCACATGTAAGAATAAAAATAAATCAATTTTTAAATATTTATAGCTTATTAATGAACATATTGAAGTAATTTAATTGAATATATAAATAAAAAAATTGAAATTGAGAAAAGCTAAGGTCCATCTAAACCTCTTCCAGAGTCTTGGGAGTGAAAATGAAGATTCAAGATGGAAGTGTTGGGGCTGTGATGAACCAGCAGAGGAGCTTGGAGAGGATGGTGATTGGTGATGAGGAATTTGAGGTTCTGCTGTGTCATGCTTTCAAGCGAGTTCAATGGTTAAAATTTATGTAAAACGGAAAAGTTCCTTAACTTGAATGAAAGTGGGACTCTCTTGCCGACTAAGAACATTTGTGAGTTATTTTCGGAGTCCTTTAATAATATAAGCCATATTAAAAAATTATTTTAAATTTATTTTTTTTTTTGTGTTTTGAGATGCAAAATTACTAATTAAATTTTTATATTAAGTTTAAAAACCAAATTTTTTTTAATTCATAATATAAACAAATTACCTCATCTTTCTTATAAGGGCGAGAGGTAGATGGTGACCAGCGGGCTACAAGGATTAGGTAAGTGAGGGGTTTTAGAGAGGGGACTGAGGGGACGAAGATGGTAGTATCGGGAAAAGTCAATGACAGCGAATAGGTGCCAAAAATGGCTATCACATGCAATGAAGAATGAAAATGAGTTGTGAAAATCAGCAAAAATCGACCAAATTGGGGGTTATCAAGGCTGAGAAAACATTTGGAAAATGTTTAAGTGAAAAATCTTATCGATTTTGGTGAGAAAATTGACCGATAGCAACACTACGACAGTGTAAAGGGGTGGAGATGCAATGTTTTCATCATTTTAGCAATTGAATGGGTGTTTTGAAATTTTAGACATTTAAATAACTATTTTAGTTAATCTAAGGGTGTGAATGAAAAATATAAAACATAGTTTTTTTGATAAATTTATGTAAAAAAATTATAATAAATTTGGGTCTTTCCTGTTTTTTTGGGGCCCTTTAAACCGGTTTGGATAAAAAATGATAAATTTTTTTAGCTCCAATGTTATTTATGTAAATCTATTTAAAAAAAAAATCTTAAAATAATTTTAGACCCAAAAGCTTCTTTTTTGGGGGGGGGGCCCGAGGCAGATGCCATCTACCCACCCCTCGGGGCGGCCTTCTCTCACACAGATAAAATATCATTTTTTAAAGATTTCCAATCAACATAAGCAGAAAAAGAAGAAACACAGGTATTATCAACTGAATCTGAATAAACACTCATATATTGATAGGGGAAAAATTAACAAACAAGTCTTCTCTGAGGTCATGATTTCAATACAGCAAATGAAACAGATATATTCAACAAACGAATTCAATGGGGATTTTAGAAGCTTTTCAACAGCAAATAACTATCTTCTAAATAAAAAAATTAAAACAGTCAAAAAACTAAGTAGGGTCCCAAGCTCATTTGAAAGATCAAGGAGATATTACAAAAAACAGGCACATAGACCGACCATATAGTGTGCCTTCAAATATATATTCCACTTAAAAATCTGCATTTTCTCAACCAAATAGTGGCCCCTTTTGATGCGTAAGCCATAACAAAAAGAGACTGAAAAGCATATACTAAAACGTATCTGTGTTAATGGGTTGAAGAGGCACCTGTGTTGCCCAATCCCATTTCTGGCCCAACGATGCAAGCTGATCAACAAACTCCGCTCCTGTGAGAATCTCTGTTGTTCCATATATAAAATGCTTAATAGGCTGCTGACGCTTTGCAAGCTCTTGCAAGCTGCCATACTCCATATAGTTACCACCACCAATCATGAAAACAATAGCTTCTTTAAAAGGTCCCTTTAGATGGCTGCTACCAGAGCCTGGCTTAGGAGCACGAGGATCAAACATGAGGTACGGATCAATTTCTGGATTTGGTTTCCCCTCCATCAAAGCTTCCACAGTCCTTGTCAATGCAGCTGCCTGTCACTAGATAATAGATTCTTCACACCAGCCGTCACAGCACTGATTGACTGCCATAATAGTTTCTCTGCCCAATCAACAATGTTATTTCTACTTGCGGAATTTGCTGATGCCATTGAGACATTCAATGATTTCATCTTCTACATATTGAAATGCACTACTATCAACCTCAGCCTCCCTAAGTGCTGCTTCCACAGCCTCTACTTCTGACGGATTAATAGTTTCTGAAGAAATTAGATACAAAATTGCAACCCCAATTTATCCATCTTATGCCTTTTCCTTTAAGTACAGCTAGCAGTTCACTTCGATCTATGCTCCTCTGACCAGCATGTCATTTTCTTTTTTGCATAAGAATCAGAGACCTCTCCTTGATCTCACCAATAATACAGTTGCAATGTTTGTGTGTTTTCAATCACCTGCTTCCTCTCCGTCAATTCAGGCAGCGAGTTCACTGCATTCATCAAGTGCTTTGTGTTTCCAATTAAGTCAGTCCCATCGAACTCAGCACCACCAGTCCCCAGTTCTCTTATTCACTTCATCAACATCCTTTTATACTTGGTCAGTGAGTCTCAATCTCACTGCCACTTCAGGAAATTCCAACCACCCATTTGCACACCAAAATGGATCTGAACTGTCTAACTCAAACGACTTCATCCCACCCTTTCACCCTGCACACTCAATCGTTAAGCTTCAACCCAGTACATCATGTACAAGGGGCCTGATCGAAAATCATGTTGTATCCCAGCTGAAAGCTCAAAATTCCTGTCAAAAAGACACAAAATCGGACGCTGAAATGAGCTCACAAAATTCCCACCTTCAGAAATAAATTGTTCTTAGACAACAAATGATCCCTCAATTTTGACAATGCAGAAGCAACCATCTCTGCCGGCCCACCACGTGGACACCTTATGATCGGCACCACCCCTAGAGTAGCCAACACACAAAACAACCCACCAACAATTCTCATAATCTCCTCGATTTCTCTATCCCCAGCTTGGATCATTCAACTGAACTAACTACTCTTCTGAGCCAATGAAAACAAATTATCCTCTAAAGTCACAAACTCCAATACTGATCATGGACCTTGAGATCCTCTGAATCGAATCCGAATTCAATGTCCCAGATGCCAAATCTTCAAGCAGTGCCGAGGTATTGAGGACGAAAATCAGGTGGAAACTATCTAAAGTGAAGCGAAGAATCAGCTATAATTTTTGTATATTCTGTTGATTTGCTTGAACAAAATATACAGCAGGCACATCATGAACAGGCTTACGATCTTTATCAATCAGAAAATAAAGGGTCACCCCATGTTTGCGAAGATCCTTAACATGGATCAACGGTGACAAAATGTTTTGACAAAACCTATCATAGATCAAGATCTTATAAAACTCTTCATTTGCCGTCCCAGTCGCATTACAGGCTGATTCAGATTCAACATTCTAGTATACATTCTGCACAGAAAAAAATATCAACTACCAGATCAGATAAAATAACATTTTCCTAAACAAAAAACCCAACATGGGTTTTAATTAAACAACTAAACTTCTAGTATATCATATTGAAAGTTCCAATTCTGCATTAAAAGATTAAAACACCGAAGGAATTCTGGTAAAAGTCCGTGCACAATAATCTTAATTAACATATCAGATTCAAAGACATTTCAATTAAATTAGCCAACCAACAATAATAACATGATAACAGAAACACAACATAAAACAACAAGCTTCTTGTATTTCATAATGAAACTTCCAATCCGCATTAAAATTAACCATAAAAAAGGATTCTCGTTAAATAATAAAAAAGAAAAAAAAAAACAAGTGGGGTTCATATTAATTCTGTTTTATACGCGCTAAGGTTATCGATCAATAAGAGATCTAAAGAGAAAGAGAAAGTTACCAGTTTGTTTTGGCGAAGATTGAGAGCCATGGGAGTTGAAATCTGAATTTGAGTGAAGTTTTCTTTATTCAGTTTTTGGTGAGTGCAGATGCAGAGACTTGAAAGGGGCAAAAATGGTGGAGATGTTAAAATTGTTTTCGTGCGGTGTGTTTCGTTCAATTTTTGTTTTTTATTTTTCATTTTAAACTAGAGTGACACGTCATCAATTATTTCCACCGTCTGAAGGTCTGAGCTGACCAATCAGAATTTTTGTTTTCGATTAATTTTGTGTTTTCAGTTTATGGGAAAATTAATTAAGGACGTGTTTGGTTGGTAAAAAAAATTTAAAAACTGACAGAAACCAAATAAAATAATTAAAATTATCGCTAATAATACAATTTTTGTAAAAATTAAATCTCGAAAATATCCCTCTATATAACTAAACAGAAACCAAATAAAATAAAACACAAAAATATTTTAAAAATAAAAATAAAGAAAACATATTTTTGATCCAAAAGCAGCTCAATATCACTGATTAGTGATTACAAGTAACGCAGAGAGAGCACAAGAGAAGAAGAAGAAGAAGCTGAAAGCGGGGAGTAAACATGGCAACGACACCGTTTTTCGGAATAAGTACTGGGTTCTAAGGCACGGCAAAAGCATTCCAAACGAGAAAGGACTTGTAGTTCTCATTGGTTCGTCTCTCCACCATGTTTAATCAAATCACGTGTAATCATATGCGCATTGAGTGCTACACATTTGTTACACTTAACATAGTTACTGTCTGTTTTTATCTTAATCAGTTACTGTCTTTTGGACTGTACGAGGAAATGAATGAATAATCACCAGTTTAGTTAAAACCGTTTTTTCAGATTGTACTGTTTGTGTCATGCTTGAGTGATACTAGAAGTGGGGTTGCTAGTGTGATTTGAATGCCAAATCCCATCGATAATTTTGAAATGGTTTTTTTTTTTTTTTTTTTGTGGTATAAATTTCCATGTATAAAGGGGTAAAAGTGCTTTTTGCAATTGCAATTGAAAGGGTTTTAATGGAAGTAAATTATCATCTTTGAAATTATAATTGTTTGTTAACAGTTCAGTTTTTATATATTGTTCTTTTAGATGATAGTGTCTTGTATCCTTTCATGGCTTGTGTGATGATACTAATATTCATTTGAGTGGGAATTCTTGTTAGTTGTGTGCTTTTGAGGGTTTTTTTAAAGTTTCTTTCAGTTTAAATTCCATTTTTATGTTCCTCGTATGCATAAAGGGAGAGATTTTTGAACATCTATTTTGGCAAAAAAGCCTTGAAAGTGTTTTCTGGAGAAGGGAATGTCGTCTATGAAAGTAAATTTGTTTGTTATCTTCTGGGAGTTATAATGGTGATTAAGGATGATAGGAAAATGGAACGCGTCTGAGTATCAATTGGCATCAGAAGGTGTCAATCAAGCTCAATTGGCTGGAGAATTATTCCTGAAGGTAATTACATTGATGCATCCCATGCCATAAATTGATGTTATTTGCCTCGATGAATTGTCTACAAGTTTCCTTTAATTGAAGATGTTCTTTTCAGACCACGTATCTGTAAATTACTGTTTGGAATTTGGAATCGATATCTGTTTGAAGCAAGTATTGAATGCAGAAGGGAGATTGTTTAGTTGTTAAGTTTAAAATTGGACCTAGTGTTGTCTGCTTGGGGGATAATTAGTAATAGCTTAAGTGGATGATATACATATGATGAACCAACTTTGCAAGAAAAAGCTGCTTTAACTGTCTGTAGGTACTTTTAGATGAATATGAAGAAGAATAGCTTCCAGCTGGCTCCATTGGTCAGTTTTGTTGCCCAATGCCGACTGTCCTATTTTCACATCACTCTGTACTGAATAATGTATCTTTCATTAATATGAAAAAGGAAAAGTTTAATTATTTACTTCATATATAGACTAATTGTTTCACATTTGCAGGAATTGAATGAAAATAACATACCACTAGAAAATGTCCGCATATGCTATTCTCCATTTTCCAGGACAACTCACACGGCTAAAGTTGTGGCATCTGTTTTGAATATCCCATTTGAAGGTCCTCAATGTAAGGTGAGCTCTTTTACCCTCAGAAAGATCTATCTTTGTGAGATAGTTGGATTATATGTTGCATTGAAATGCAAGAGAAGAAAAATCACTTGGTACTTAATATATGAATGGCTAAAGATGAGCAATTGTAATAGACACAATGTGAAGCGAAAAGATATCTCATGTCAGATTTGACCTGATTAAATTATCAAATAACAAAGTCAAGGCATTCTCATGATGGCGACAAATTGAGTAGGTTTATTTTCTTCCTTCTGTGTCCTGTTTTCCATTGCACCGATCATAAACTGAATACTGCTGAATAGGTGATTGAAGATCTCCGGGAACGTTTCTTTGGTCCTACATTTGAACTTATGTCACATGATAAAGTAAGTGTCTAATGGAATTTAAATTTGATTTCCTATACAAGTGCTATGTCTTTTCTGCTGCATAAATTGTAACAATGGTATTCAAGAATGTGATGTGAAGCTAGAATTTTTACATAGGTTATATCTATTATATTAAAACATGTGCTTAAGTATTTGATGAATTAGCATTTGAAAGTTTCTTTATTTCTTCTTCCCTTTTATGAACAGTATGCAGAGATATGGGCTCTTGATGAGAAAGATCCATTTATGAGACCAGAAGGCGGAGAAAGTGTCAATGATGTGGCTTCTAGACTTGCAAGTGCTATGGTGTCGATTGAATCAGAATTTCAAGGGTAACTAATCCATGTTTGTTTGGACTATGAATAGATGATCTGGGAATTTTTGTGATTTTAAACGTTTGTATAGTCATGTTTTGATGCTCAAATATCGATAATCAAGCAAGTCAATAAACATCCTGATAATGTCATCTCCAGCATTCTGTTTATAAGCCAGTTTATGTGAGGTAGACTAGAACACATGGATGGCTGAGTCCTGATAACTGCATTGCGTTTCAAATTGCACATCAACTCAAAAGTAATAGCAAGAGTTTCCCATCTGGATTCTCTAAAAAATTTAAATAAAATATTTGAAATAATATTTTCTTTTTATTTCTTAACTGAAATTTGTTTTTACTTTATGTTTTTCCTGCAGGTGCTCAATTTTGGTTGTCAGCCACGGTGATCCCCTGCAAATCTTGCAGACACTACTGAATGCAGCTAAGGAGATCACAGGACCGAATGTCAATGGCTTGGACTCAAGAATTCAAGCTGTCCGAGTCCCTAAAATCTTGTCACAGCATAGAAAATGTTCTTTGCTCACTGGAGAACTCCGGGCAGTTGTATAGTGTGCTCTTTGCAGTGTCTTTCAGGAACGTAAAACCATTGCTTAGGTCACGGAATTATAATAATTGGCATTTCATGGCTTAGAATGAAATTCAGTCTAACATTCATTCAATAGAATAAGATAGGTAGCCTGAACAAGATTAGAACGAATGCTTTTCAGAATAATTGTTCGCATAATGTTTTTATGTCAAGTGTTTAGTGAAGTTATTGTTGAAGAATGGTGCTATTTGCTCTCCATCTATGATCTGAAAAAACCCCAATTATCGTTTTAGTCAAAATTGATCTTTTTTTTTTTTTTTTTTTTTTTTTAAATAACCAGAGTGTTAGGGTCAACTTACTCATCTCTGAAACCCATTGAATAGTCTACAAGTCCAATATTCCTAAGTAAATCATAAATATGATAAGTGACTCTAAGGTGTTTCGAACCCAAGAAATCAATGAAGGGAGCAAACATTTCTAACTGTCAAACCAACCTCTTAGAGTTATCATGATTGATCTTAATCCTCTCACTTTTGATTTCTTTGGTTCATATCCTCATCTTTGTTGATCGATCGAATCCTAAATCGAATTTTCATTGCCCCTCCCTCTTATTCGGGATTAGTAACTACTCAACTGCAAGGCTTCTGTATTCTTATTGACAGAGGCAATCCAAAAAACAAATAAGGATATTTATGCCTAAATCATACATGGTATTGTTGGCTCAAATATGGTTTCTTCTTAAACAAATTATTCAGTTAATAAAATGTGGAACGAATATACGGCATCAAGTAATTTACATGAATAAAACCTCAATTAAGTAAAGGTTGCACAACATAATTACTAGACAGCGGCATTAAATTCTTTCAACAAAGCGATTCTTCCACTTAAGTACAACAAGACAATGCGTTGTAAAGACAATTGATTTACTCGATGGACATCCATTTAACACGAATTTCTTTTTCTCAAATCATGCATCATTGTCCTAATTTCAGTGGCATTCACAACCTCTCAAGCCTTAAGAAATTCTATACAGAATATTGAAAGCGCATCAAGCATAATAATCGTACACCATTTAGCACCTATCGCATGGACAACCTCACCAATTAACATGAAAAGATCCACATACCAGAAAAATTTGGATTGAAGTCTTCAGCTTCCTTGTGGAGCTTTGTACACGTAAACCAACAAGCCTTAATGGGAGAATTGCACTTTTCTTGCTGAATGCTAATGCATAAACCGTCTATGCTTCATTCCTCAACCATCATTGTTGAGCCCCCCATTTCTTGCGTAGATACAAAATCCTCTCCTCACTAATCTTTGGTGACCCACCTATGACCTCTGACTTGGTAACCACCATAGCTTTGATCACTACTGCTTTCTCCCCCGCTTTCTGCACTAGTATATCCTGATTTCCGACGGTGCTTTTTCCGTGTAGGTGCACTGTCGCTAATGCTCCCATTTAACAGTGGGTCATCAATTCCCCGAATTACCCTCCGTGCAGGTGATGATGTGGCAATGCAACTATCGTCCTTTGTTCTCCTCTTATCCTTGTCCTTCTTTATATTTTGGGAGATCTTATGTAATTTTTCATTGAACTTTGTAATACCCTTCTCCACAGGCTCTACTGCTTGGGTCACAGTGAACTTCACATCGTTTACTATCTGCATCGGTGACAAACATCAGATTCAACATCAAATAAAAGGAGAAAGATGAAACAAAAGTGAGGTTTTACATTATGTTAAAAGACAAGTAAGTAATTCCTGCTAAAACAGATCTATAAGGATTATATTAACATAAGTTAGTTATAAGATGTGTATCGGCATTAACATATTTCTTAAACTTATTATACTCTTTCCTGAGCCAATAAAATGTTAAGTTCTAGGCAATTAAAACAAATTGATTGATCTTTTATCCTTTATAATTTGCAAAGGCCAAAAATATCCACATGTAAAGACTACTTGAACGTCACAATATAGAATTGAAGAAACTTACATATTCACCACCACCAACAAAAACGTCCCGAACACTTTCTCTAATGGTCATTCCACTCCTGTTATCAATGTCTGGCTGTGGTAGACGTAGCTTTGTAGGTCGCTCACTATCCCTAATCTCATCAGGGTCCAGGGGACAATCAGCAGAATAGTCTCCAAGGATAGAAACACTTCCAGAAAAACACTCTCCCATTAGCTCGTAAGGCTTGGCAGGGAATACATATAGGTGGACAATAGAAGCAATGCCCATCTGTGCTGGATGAATACAGACCTATTAAACTTTACTATTTTGATTGAGATTTATAGCATTATTTATATGAAACTCAGAGAATTACTATGAACGTTGAAGAAATGAGAAAAGTTAAGGTTCTTAAAAATTCAATATAAAAAAAAAAGGTGGGTTTTAGTGAGTGATATCACTTTCCCAAAGAATTAAACTAGTGAATGAAGGCATCTACCTCTATACAAATTATGAAATCTTGCACACTTGATTTAAACTCCAAGCCTTGAGCTACAGGACTTTTAAACAAACCAAGAGCATAAAGAAGAGCGATCGCCACACCTTGCCACCAAGTCAAAAACACAATTGACTTGAATGTTAAAAACTTGGCCAATGGCTTTATGTGTGCCAGTTCATCCTTTGTGACTGTATAAAATTGAACTAAACAATACAAAGCCCAGGACTGACTAAAATTTAAAACCACCGCGATATAAGGATACCTACAAAAACACAAGAAGGCTTGGGCAATCAGAGATTTCTTAAAAAAATTACATTCATAACTGCTCACTATTCCAAATGTAAGAAAAATCAATAACAAAATTTGCAGATGGAATTCTCTCTCTCATTAAATTAAATTGAACTAAGATCTGGAATGTGTATCACAAGAGAGTTTGTTTATGTATCCAAACCACATGAAACCATACTGATTCCTGTCAATATATTTGCATGATTATCAAATAACAAACAATTATTTACACCCACAAGGAAAACTAATATACATAATAAAACAAGCATCAGTCTCGAAACCATTCAACCCAGCAGCATGCGATCCTAAGAGCCCTTATGCTAAAATAAGGCCATCACAAAGCTCTATATCACAAACAAAGCACACAACAAAGCATTCAAATTTTGCAGCAAAAGTTTTAGCTACCATGTTATTGGTCAATGGTCGTTAAGATGATCTTACCCGCATCTCAACTTGAAATCTCCTTCACAATATACACCAAAGGCTTCAAGAACTACAGCTAAAATAGCACTAAGAGACTTTATTATCATCTGCCAAAGAAAGACAGAACTCACCCTATTAGACAAAGAAAAAAAAAATTGGAAAGTAACAAAAAAGGTAAAAGATGGCATTTGACAAAGTGAAAGAAAACATACATATTGAACAATGCCAATCTTGACAACTTGGTAAAACCATTGACCAAGTTTCCATGGTTTCAAGACATAGTTCATTGGGAATGGGTGCTGCACGGTTCCTTTCTCAAAACTGGGTTCTAATAGGGGATTTTTATAGCTTGCGCGTCCTTCTCTTTCCATAAACTCGATAGTCCTTTCTTCTCCGCCTTCCATAATTATTAAGGGGAAAAAAGCCAAAAGAAGAGCAAAGACAAAATCAGCTGGGAAAGTAAGCCAGAAAAGTGCAAAAATAAATTGATAAGAAAGGAATTTTTCAACATATACAATCTTAAAGTGAATAAACTTAAGCAGAATTTTATTGAGTCATACAACCAGTTGATTAACAGACAACTCCAATGTAACAATTCAACATTAATGTTGTGGCATAGCCATGGAAACTATATACTCTGAGACAGATTAACCATGCAAGTGTATTCTTCAGCTTGTTAACATGAAATGCATATTCAAATATGCATTTGTTTGTGAATGCAAAACTCAAGAACCTTGAAGTGGTGGAAAGATTAATAATTGATGCACCATGCGAATGCTCTTCCATGAATCCAAAGAAAAGATATATGTATCCTCTTGCATGCATCTGGACTGGTCTTAAGAAAAGCAAGCACAAGTTTGTAGGCAAGCTAGCAGGAAGTGAATATTTTATTAGAATTTTCAAATCATAGTGGTGATTATTTGGTACATGTAATATATCAAGAAATATAAGCACTTGAGCAAGAGGGAACATCTTTGATCGATCCAAACTTCCTTTCTAGATCCTAACACTTCGATTTGATCAGAACACCTTAAATGAAGTTACAGCAGAAAATCAAATTTAACCGTTAAAAGAGCCTAAGATTATGAACTAATTGAATTCTTATAAATAGAATTATTGATACCCCCATGAGAGAGAAAAAGAATATTCCTAGGTGAATAAAAAAATAAGAAAACAGAATTTTCAGTTAACAAAATAATGCATTAGTGAATCTACAAACTTGAAATGCTCTACGTAAATAAAATTTCAATATCACATAAGAAAGCTCTTGAAAGTACATACCCAAGCATGCAACAAGGTATCTTCCAAAGCAATACATGGCAAAGGATTCGTAGCAATCCCGTAGTATCTCACAATCAACACTAATTGATGGATTAGTCAACGACACAAACTGTATAAAATAATGCATGTTAGAGAAAGAGAAAATGATATACTGATGGACAAGGGCAAGTAGTACCTAACAGACAAACAATGTCATACCACAGTAAAATATGTATCTATATTGGACAAAAGAAGCTATTGCATAAACTAAAAATAACCACATGAATGTACAACTCCTTAAATATAAATGCTCCAACCATTTTCGCAAACCATTCTGGTAAGTCAATATATCAATATACCACAACTTGAAATAAGAGACAATATACTGAAACTCCCACCTCAAATATGCCACAAATTGACAGTGATCTAATCCAAATGTATATCTGATATTTTCAAAATGATTCCACAAGCCAAGCTTGTAATTTAAAGACATGTATGCATTACCAGATTAACTTACCCAAACATGTCAGAAAATAACAAAAAAGTACTGACAATCATTCACCGTGGAAAGAAGGTACATCCATTAAACGAAAAAATATTACCTTCATATCTATATAAATAATGCTGCATTGTTTTCTATTAAACAACTTACCGACTCCACTGCATAGCAAGGAACCATCAAAATAACTCCAATCAAAAACTTTTGCTCCTGAAAGACAAGGACCCAAAAGAAACGGCATGTGAATAAAATAATAATTTGAGCAAAAAACTAATGAACACGTCAAGAAAATCCACAACAGTGTGACAAAGAATTAAAAACCTCAGGATTTTTGTATGCAGAAAGGTGCTCAAACACGAGGTACATCGACAGAGATAGAGTAACAACTACAAGAACACCGGCAATTAGACTTGCCCATAAGGGAGTCGTATAAGCCAACAGGGAAACGAGATAGTGATAAGTTGTAATCCTCATTAGCTACACAAACTTCTAATTGGGCCTACACTTTCAAAGATTGCCAGCATAATGAAATTACCAATCTCCAAACTAACACATAATACATTTGCTGACAATTCAACGAGCCACCAGAGATATGCACCTGTTAACATCCACCCAACAAACTACATCACCAAAAATACCTCTAAAAGCAAATATACAGACTAAGAATGCTTAAAATTTTGCTTTAAAAATTACGTTTTCATTATCTATTCATTAAAACAAGCATACCCAATTAATATCTAAGAGAACCAGTAATACCCAGATTCTTTTTTTGGTTTAATTTGGTCAATACAAAAGAACAAGCTTCAGTAATCAAATACTGGCTATATCAAAACTTAACAAAATCAATTTCAAGGTGATAATTTCAAAGCTAAGATCAATTTCAAACATTGAATTAATTCGATAAACAGAAAAGGAAAATTAAATTGAAAAAGAAATAAAAAGCAGCACTTACAGAGATGGGTGTGAGAGTGAGCAGAGAGAGTTGTCGTTTTGGGAAGAGAATAAACCCGTTTTGGTACACAAAGACACAACAGAAGAAGAAGCTGAAATGTGACTCGCACGTTGCACGTGCGGATTTCATACGTGAAACTCTCATGCGCTTTTTTTTAAGAGTAATACTAACCTTATAAAGAAGCATACAAAAAATCATACAAAGAGCTAAATTTAACCCTTGAAAAAAGAAAAAAGAAAGAGAGAAAGAGATAATCATGAATTTCAAGGGCTGGATTTGACTCTTTGTATGACTCTTTGTATACCTCTTTATAAATCTAGTATTACTCTTTTCTAAATAATAAATTTGTTTTACGAAAATTGAAATTATATATTAAAAAAATATATATATTCTGGGATTTTCCAAAAAGAGAATATGAATATTTGGGATTGGAGGAGTATTTTTTTATTAAACTAAATTTTAATTTAAAATGACGTCATAATTATACTTGAAACTGTATATTTTATATTTTATGTTCTTTATTATTATTATTATGGAATAAAAAATAAAAAAAGTCGATTTAAGTAATTTTAAGTTTAGAATACATCCATAATTTTAGTATTAATGATGTGATTAAGTTTTGCGATATAAGAGTTAAGAAGTTGACCTTCGGGGGGCACTTGTAATGTTCAATGAATGAAGGGGTAAAAGAGAAATAGAAGTTAAGAACTTTATTTTATTTTTAAGGGGCAAAGTGTCATATTTGGAAAGTTAAAATGAAAACAAGTGGGTAAGAAGTTGGTACTTTTAGATATAATAATCGGCCCTAACCTTTAGATTATTTAAAAAAAATAAAAATAAAAAAATCCGCTGTACTTTCAAAAAATTATCACTAATATTCCATTGAGCAAAATTCAAAACTATAGATGACTTTAGAGTAATTAGCGGAAGGGCAATAATGTTTTAATAATCAACTTGAGGTGAAACCCAACAAAGTTGTCAGGTTCGGGGTTGATTGGTTTAACCAGTTTGATCCACCAAAAAATCAGTAAATACACCGTTAAAAATTACAATTAATTCTCTATAGATTTAAAATTTAGCAAACATACATGAAATACAAATCGATCGACGATTGGTTGGCGGTAACGACACCCAAAATATAATCTCAATCATCCCTTGAGTTTATTGCCCAGAAAATCTACCTAAGATCTGACCAAAATGAGTTCGATTTCGGGCAGATCTCACCGACACTAGCGTCGACAACCTTCCTCATCACCCTGAAAATACTCCTCTCTTCCTCCTAACCAAAACCTACCTCACCCCGCCCTCGTTAGCCTCACCAATTGCCCGTTGTTGTCGTCGTTTTTTTTTTTTCGATTTCTAGTCGATTCACTCACCAGAAATCAACTCTGTCGCCACCGTTGCACTCATTGGCACTTTCTCTTCAAAAGCCCCAATATCACGACCTTCAATTGTTCGCTGATCATCATCCAAAATTCTAGGGTTTTGGATGAATAGAGAAAATGTTAACCCAACCTGGTGAAGCTCCCAAGTCCTGATTAAACCGACTAGGCGGGGTCAGGTTTTAAAATAGTGGGCAATACTACACTTACAATCTAATCTCACAAACGTTCTCTCACAACCTCGACATGACAGCTTGTAATTAGTCAACTGCAAATGGGTCCTACTTGCTCGCAATAGGTCTTGTCTGTCCAATTGCAAACTGATCAATTGCAAATTGTCTCATCGTAGTTGTGAGAGAAAGTTTATAAAATTGAGTTGTAAGCAAATCTTTATTGTTAACGAAATTAACCTTGTTTTTATGAATAAAGTAATAATCTTTTTTTATAAAATTTAATTAAATAAAATCTTAATTCGATAATATTATTTTAAAATGGATTCTAGGTAACTTCCTAAACAATATAAACAAACAAAATACTATAAAAAGAACATAAAAACTTAAACCAACTAATAAATATGGTAAAACCAGAAACCATAAATACACCCAGCTCTCAGCTCTTTCTCCATAAACGCATCCTCAACATACAATACAATACAGTACGACACAAAACTCACCCACAATGAAGCCTGTGATCACAACTCTTCTTTTCTTGGTAACCCTTCAGGTCATCTGGCAAGATCTAAGCCTTTACACCAAAGTAGAGAGTTATCCTGCAGATGGGATAGTACATATAGATGTACTCAATAATCATACAAAAGGGAGAATGCTTTGGATGAATTGCAGTACCAGGAACTTCAGAACTGGTCCCCAGTGGGTTCCTGGAATGAATGCCCTTTATATTGACATGCCGCTAAATGTATTTGGAGGTACAATATTAGACTGCATATTTTCATGGCCGCATAGCCCTGCTCAGCGCTTCAATCTGTTCGACGAGAATAGGGATGCTTGCGTAAAATGTAGCTGGACTGCAATGGATCATGAGGTGTGTTTGGTAAGGGTAGACAGCAGTCGTATCAATTGCTTCAAATGGGCAGAGAAGTGAAAAAACATTGTGTCGTGATGTATATATGTTATGTTTGTGTTTGTGTTTGTAATTGCATTTAAATAAGGCTGATTATCAGCAACCCTACAAGCAGGGGCGGCTCCAGCCTATTTTTGGGTGGCCCTCAATTTTATTTTAAAAAATACTAATATATATAATTTTTAGATTTTGGTTCACCCTAACAAAAATAATAATACACAAAAATATTAATATGTAATTAGTTTTTATTTTGGTCTACTCTAAACAAATTTTTTTGGATCCGTCAAAAGATTTAGGATCAAATGTTGTAATTACACCCTTGATTTTACCATCGGCAACTCCTAGAAGGTAGGAGCCTTGGATCAAAGGAATGTAAATAATACACATCGATTTTACTTCTTCATCTATGTATGTACGTGAATTTCACTATATTCTTTTACTCTTGCTTATTCTTTTGTCGCCCAAAAGTTTCGAAATATAAATGTGTGAGAACACATAATGGGGCATTAAAAAATTAACCAAATTTTGGGGTTAAAATAAAAATTACCGCCTCTCACAACCCTAAACAAAAATTAGTCATATATTTTAACATATACCCTTTTTATACTCTTCCAACTCTTTAGCAATGCTTGTCAAGGGGTCAGGTCAGACCGGTGATACCAGGGTATCCAACAAATATGAAACTTAATAGACATACCCCTGAGAAATTACCATTAGCCCTTGTAGGTTTTGAAATCTAGAAAACCTACCCCTATGGTTTGGCCAGGAAACCCTAGCCCCTGCAATTGCAATCCACCCCAGATCAGTCCAACGTCAGACAAACCACCACCAGACCACTACGAAAACCTTAATCCACCACAAAACACCATCATTTGCCACAACAAAACTCCAATCCAGATCAATCCAAAACTCCCAAAAAAAAAAAAAAAAAACAAAAACAAAAAACAAAACATAGTAAACTCCCAACAATCAAGAACATGTTGGTGATTGCGAGGGGTGGGTGTGGCGGCTTGATCAGTTGAGAGGACTATAAGGGTGGTGTTGGAGGTGTGTGGGATGGCTAAGGTGATGGGGTTCGGGTGTGTTTGTGGGTGGCGGAATGGGTGAGGTGCAGTTGGTCGCAATCACGTGGTGCGCAACGTGAAGAAGAAACGTGGGACGTCTCTCTCAAGTGGCGACGCAGAGGTGGTTCTCTGACCCGGTGGTTCAGTAGTGTTCCATCGATTCAATCAATCTGGACCAATGACTAAAACCGGGTTGGAGGAAACCCGAACCGAAGAAGGGGCCAGTTCCAGTCGAATTGGCCGATCTAGTTCAGATTTTAAAACATTGCCCTTTAGCACTTCACGTACATGAATTGTGCCACTTTCGAACTCTAAACAATTTGCGTAGGCTAACTCACATTTCGCATACTTTATGTGAACTATGTAGTTTTATGTGAATCTTTGGTTCGTCTTAAACACAGAAATCTCAAATTGTGGTCATTTTAATTTTTTAACACAACGACAAGAAATAATAACCTAATATAATAATTTATTTTATCAAAGAAACTCTCTAAACAAATAGATTAACTTCAATCCAACCTTAAACCGAACTCCAATTACCCTTACTTTCTAAACCAAAATTTCAACTCTTCCAATCAATTTGTCAGGTTTCTTTGACTTCAATCTTATGGAAACAACTAATTAATGTTGAAATTAACGCTTCAATTTGTTAAGAACTTGATTATAAGAGAAAGTTAAAAGAAAGAGAGGAAGTGAGTGAATGATTTTTGTAAGAGGGTAATATTGGAATCTTAATGGCAACTATAGTTTAGGGTTTGGAAAAGGTGGTTAATATTGTTTAACCCTTCTATTTTTGGTTCAATCAATTAATATTCCAAACATAAAAGTGGCTGTTTTTACATATTTTCTTAAATAAACATTATCATCAACCAAAAAAAAATTCAAATACACTCAATCTGCAGAAACTCTTCCATCACACATTTGGAGAATAATTCTCCATTATCACACAAACAAATCAACACATAGTCTGGAAAAAATTGTTTACATTATGAACAACATATTATCATACTTAAATAGGGTTCTACTGGAATGCTAATGAAAGATGAGCGTTTCACGTTACCCAGCAACATAACAATCATAAGAAGATGAGAACTAGGACCTATGATGTACAGAGGCAGTTGAAAGTCATGTTTCCCCGGTAGTATGAACTTGGTTTCATATTCTACAATTTGCAGCTGCACAAGAAGAAAACGACGTTAATATATATTATCAGGCAATGCATGTATTTCTTGAGGTACCAAAGGACTGGATTCCAGTACAAGATGAGTTTACTCTATGATTGATTTACTAACAGTTAAAAGACCAACTAATGACTAATAAAATAATATTTCAATTAACTTCAGTTTTTGTTTTTCCATTTTTGCATAAAATTAAAAAGCTATGGAATATCTGATACTAAATATTTTGTCGTCATCTTGAATTAGTATACTCACTGCAGAAGATAAACTGGTTGAGATCAAGAGTCACTCTGCCTTGCTTGGCTGTATCAAATGAATTAAACAGATTTCTGCGACAATCAGAACTAGAAAAAGTAAGCAGCCTCCCAATTAGAAGATTGAAATTAAATAAATTTTGGAGTTTATTACTGAAATGGTACAAGAGCTACATTTCAAAGGTGATCTGTTTCACTTCAGGTCAAGCATTTCTAGGAATGTGAATTACTACAGTAAGCATGCATGTGTTTGTTAGTATTGCATGTTTGGATCATTTGGGCACTTTTGCCAAAACGTTCCAGTCAATTACCACTCTTGATCACTCCATCTAGAATATGCAACACTTACATATAAGTTTTTAGGGATACATACCGTGCAGACTGCAAAAATATACAAAGAGATATGAAGTCATCCAGGCGAAGTCTTCCATTCTTTTTTTGATCAAAACTCTGAACAATTAAAGGGAATCAATCAGAAAGTTCAACTGCAACATAATGGTTCTTATCTTACAAGTGCGAATAAACAATTTATCCATCAACATACAATATAATGATTCAAACAAGGAAAGACCTAAAACATTTTAATTGTTCTCTTTGAAACATTTTAAATAAGAGACCAATGGAATGCTGATCAAAGAAAAGATCTCATAAGACGAGTTGAATCATTCTGAAAAACTAATTAGCAAAACAACAGCACAAATGCAGTACAACGTCAAGTAAGTTAACAAAAGTATGCCATGCCGGTTCAAAGAGAAGTCTCACTCTTTTGAATAAGTACTAAAGCTTGTTTTAGGTCATACATTCAATAATTTGAAATCCAATACCATCAGTTTAAAAAACAGTACTTCCAAATTGTCAAGCTCACTGTATTACTTGAGCATCTAAAAAGATGACATTATCCAAACTTTAGTACAAGAGTGAGAGTTTGCCACAATTTTCCAACTCTGAACTCTTTAACATTTTATGCAAAAGCAGGTCCTCTAAATTATTATAAAGAAACAATTGTTTCTACTTTAAATTAAAAAGTTTATCTTTACCTCACAAACTGTGTAAAAAGCAGGAGAGTCCAAGGAAAAACCAATTTTCACCAATGCCTGTAATAAAACAATTCGGCAGTGACCAAAAAGAAAAAGGACAAAATAAACTAAAATGAAAAACTCAGCTTCATGGAGGATTATTGCATTCTTGAAAATATGATGCCCTGTAGGGACTTAATAATTTCTTCATCTAAAAAAAGAGTAAAAAGCATCTCAGAAACTACCTTATACACGTCATCAGGAACAAGATATCCACGACTCCTGCAACATTGAATTAAAAAACCAAGGAGAAAGTACTCAATACTCAAATTGGCAGAGTACTAGAACAAGAGAAAGATATTCAGCTTATAAATCAGGAATCAAGTTCCATAAAAATTTAAACATACAGTGAGCAAAATGGACTCTACAATGAACATTATTTGACATCAAATTATTCTCAAGTCGCTTAAATCTATCAATTTTATAACAATTTCGATTATGGCAACGATAAATTCACTAATAAACTCCTGTTTTAAGCAGAAACGGTGCAGGGTTACTCACTTCTCCAGGTCTGAGAAGGCATGTTGAACCTGCAAATCAAAATTAAGTAAATAACAATTAATAACATAATATTAAATACACTAGATTAAGTGAAAGTGCTAACCTTGAGAAGGAACTTGTTAAGCTCCACGAACTCTGGATTTGAAATTAAATAAATAAGAGTATAAATCAAATCTAACAAAATTATAAAAAGAAAAAAATTCGAAAAATTCAAAATTGAATTACCTTGAAAGCTCATGGTACCATTTTTATCAAAATCATACATTCTGCAAACAAAAAAAAATAAAATAAAAAATAAAAAATTCATGTACAAAGGCAATACACGAACGTAGAACATAATTCGACGTCGTTTATGAAAAAAAGCGGACCTGATCATTTGTTGGACGACGGAGAGGGGAAAATCGAGGTTGCCAACAGCCAAAGCGCACTGATCGTGAAACGTTTCGTATTTTGGTCAAATTTGTAAGGATATTTTGAATGGATTTGAAAGAGTAGGGAAGAGAATTGAAACCTTGAGCTGAGCTGCTGTGATGTTGCCGGTTTTCTCCGAGTCAACTCGGTCGTACCACTCTCTGAGAATCACCGCGTTCTCCATTTCCGTTCGAGTTGACTCGGTTACCGCGCCACGTGATTTATACCTTAAGCCTTGGAGTAAATTTTACTTACATCTCTGAGGTTTAAGACTACTTTAAAGACCCCCTAAGTTTTGAAATTATACCTTTCTTACCAATTTTACTTACATCTCTGAGGTTTAAGACTACTTTAAAGACCCCCTAAGTTTTGAAATTATACCTTACTTACCCTCTATTTGTTTTTAGTTTGTGAACCCCAATACCCTCTTTGCATATTAAAATGATATTTGACAATTAAAATTTTAAAATTACATCATCTAGTAAAATAATTTCTTTGTTTCAATCTTGAGCTGATTTAAACGAAGTTAACATAAGAAAGATATGTTCTTGAAATTTGTGGCGCGATAATATTTGGCTATTATTTGCTGTCTTGATGCTTTGAATGGGTTTAATTTTTTCTTAACTGTGCATTTGCTTCTTCTCTGCAGAAGGGTCATCTTGCAATAATGCTAATTGATCTAAAATTCATGTTTACTTCTATTATGCCTAAAAAATTAAGGCTGATGTAGACTCATATCAACAAGGATTAATTAGATTTCAGGAAGGCATTATGCCATCTAAGCGCTGCCACGTCGTCCAAGGACAAAAGGAGTAAGGATGTCATCAACTTAGCAGGTAAGGGTATGGCTAGTGAATGGTTGGGAGTCATCCACTTGCCTGATCCCTACGCGATTTAAGGATACCTACCGCATAGTCAGCCAATAGGAAGCAAGGTAGGAACTATACGGTACCTGCCCATTGACAGACCCGTAATCATTGCCCAAGAACCTCTTACTATAAATAGAGAGCTCCCCTCTCTTCATCCGGATTCGGCTTCTGATAATATAAACACTCTCCCTCCTTCTCTGTATTTCTTTTCTGATCGCTACTTGCGACCTGATTGTAACATTTCTTCTATAAAAAGACAGTGAACGTAGGATTCGCTTTAAGCATCCAAACCACTTTAAAAATCGTCTTCCTTTATTTATTTATTTCCATTCCTAGTTCAAGTGTAATTTCTAAGTCCGCTTAGTACTTTGCACGTGCGAATAGTTGGTGTCAAAATCCAGCATCAACAGTTTGACGCTAGAAGGAGGGCCTGATTTAGTATCCGCTCTTCATCAAGAATCTCTGATTGATCGATTATGTTCGATAGCAAATAGCCCACAGTTTTGAAGCCGAGCGAGCTAGCCCCAGCAATGAGGAGATCCCCCCGGCATAGGATGACACTTCTCCTGAAGAGCCCTCGATTCAGCATAGTGCCGTAGCGGACATTCCATCGAGCTCACAATCTCGACTAGCTGTAATGGATTACCAGAAGAGGTTCAACAATACTCTCCAGATGGTTAACTGAAGGTTAGACCGTTTGGACCAGGTCGTACCACCCGAGTCCGACAAGGCAGTGTTACCGCCAAAAACGCCTGTAGGTCATGCTAAAGCATGGAAACAAGCGAAGGCCCATACCGCGTGCACTACAGTGCGAAAAGGCAAGGGAAAACAGGTGATAGATAGTGGGTCGAAGGGCTCCAAGGGACCAGCGAATATTGGTTGTGAAACAGGTAGAATACCTGTGGCTTTGCGACTTGGCGATTTGTCGCATCATGAATTGTCCCACGCCACATCGCATGGGCACCCCCACAAGAGTGCAAGGTAGGGAAATCCTCAGCAAACGCGGGTCGATTCTGACCACCGCAGAGGTCGGGCTAACTCCTTGAACCTTTCATTGCCTTCACACGACTTTAATTAGTATGTGTCAACATATGCCGGAGCCTTCGATCAAAGCAAGGAAGAGTCCGATCTGTGGTCTTTCCTCAACCGTAATCTTGAGGGTCGAATCCACGTTGCGAAAAGTGATCCCCAGATAGCTGAGCTGCCTCAAATTGAGGAGTTACAACGAGCTCTAGATCAGCTTAGAGCTCAAAAAAATGAGTGTGGGCAGGTCGTTAAGGCATATCCCTTATCCCCAGTAGTGTTAGCTGTTTCTCTCCCGTCAAGATTTAGAATGCCCGATATGTGAGCATTCGATGGGAATTCTGATCCACAGATCACCTCTATGAGTTTAACGACCTTAAGAAGCTTTACTAAGTTTCCAACTTGGCCAAGTGTCACTGTTTGGCAGTGACCCGGACTGCCCACGCCAAGCGCTGGTTTAGATCGCTTCTGCCAAGACTTATTAACTCGTGGCAGTAGATGAGCTCGTTATTCTTGAGGCACTTCTAGGCAAATAGGAAGTTCTCAATGTCGTTGAGCTATTTGAGCAACATACGGTAAGAGAAGAATGAATCCCTCTAATCTTACATTGACAGGTTCCACAAGAAGCTGCACAAGGTGGCTAATACACCTGAAGAGTCTGTTCGAACTCTCATTATTACGGGAGTTTGCCTGCAGACCGACCTGTGGAAAAAGCTACAATCCGAGGATGACATTTCCGTCACTCGCTTCTACGATCTCACGAAGAAGTACCTCAGAATTGAGAATTCTGTGGCCGCTCTCAATTGCCATGACCCCGGCCTTTTGACTAGTGCTCATGACCGGGGGGAGGGTAATAGAAAAGCTAATCGTAGATAGGCTAATAACGATCAGCGGACGGGAAAGAAGCAGCGGTTTGAGCCCAAGAAATCCTATGCCCAAGTTCCTCATTGCAATCGCGACAAGAATCAGTATATTCCTTTGAATGCGTCAGTATTGGCTATTCTAGATAAGTCATAAGAAGCCATCCTGTTCAGAGAGCCGATGCCCATGAGCAATCCCTCTTCAGTGAGAAATAACAAGAAATATTACTGCTATCATTGGGATAATAGACACCAGATCGATGAGTGTCGGACTCTCAAGCAAGCAATTGAAGACCTCATCAAGCAGGGGCACTTCAAGGAGTATGTTGATGGTCCGGTTCGGGAGAAGGATCAAAAGAAACAAGGGAAGAAGCGTTGTGGTCGTAAGGGTCTCTACTGTGTGGGGATCATCTTTGGAGGACCACACATCGCAGGGAATTCTCGAGGTGCCTAGGAAAGGTACGCTTGGGAAGCTCGTCATGACCCCGTAAGTGTGATGAGCACAGCGCCGCGACCCGCTAAGGTTCGCAGGGAAGAAGAGATTACCTTCTCAGAGAAAGACGCGATGCGATTGCATCATCCCTATGAGGATGCACTCGTCATCGTGCCTAAAATAGGTTGGTGCGAAGTCCACAGAATGCTGGTGGACAATGGCAACGCTATGAACATCCTATTTCAGTGAGCTTTCAAAAAAATGCAATTGGATGAGGCAAATCTGAAGCCTGCCTTTATCCCTCTCTATGGTTTTACTAGGGATCATCTGATTCCTAGGGGAACGATCGCACTTCCTGTCACTTTGGGTGAGACCAATGAAGTGACCAAGATGACGGAGTTCTTGGTAATAGATTGTCTGTCCTCCTTTAATGGAATTCTGGGACGACATCTACTACGAAGCTTCAAGGCCATCACCTCCATCTATCATTTGAAAATGAAGTTTCTTACACTAACTGGGTGCGGAGAAATGAAAGGGTCTTAAAGCGAATCTCGCGACTGCTATGTAAGGGTAGTGCAGATAGCATGTAAAAGGAATGGAAAGCTAGTGGGCATTCCTGAGCAGGCAATGGTGATTACCAAGATCTAGCCGTAGCTAGGTCCAATGGAAGATTGCATAGATCCTCCTGCCCAAGAGAAGTATTCCCACAGTGGGCCGATTGAGTCTTTGTCGGAGTATCTGTCAACTAGAATGAGCCAACGCGAGTGTTGAGGATCAGGCGTAATCTCAGCCCTTAGCTCACTGCAGATTTAACAAGCTTCTTTAAACAAAATATCTACATTTTTGCATGGACTCATGCTGATATGGTTGGGATCAGCTCAAACATAATATGTCATGCACTCAACGTTGGCAGCGCAATCAACCAGTTCTCCAAAAAAGAAGAGCCATGGACCCGAAGCGCTACGCTGCTCTTAAAGTTGAGGTGGATAAGCTCCTCTCAAACGGGTTCATTCGGGAAGCCCATTACCCTAGTTGGGTCGCCAATCCGGTGTTGGTGAAAAAACCTAACGGCAAGTGGAAAACTTGTGTTAATTTCTTTGATCTCAACAAATCATGTCCGAAGGACAGTTTCCCTTTGCCTAGGATCGATCAGCTCGTCGACACCACCTTTGGGCACAACCTATTAAGCTTTATGGATGCCTACTTAGGGTATAACCAAATCCAAATGTATGAGCCTAACAAGAAGCATACCTCGTTCATTACAGATTGGGGACTGTACTATTATAAGGTCACGCCCTTCGGTCTGAAGAACGTTGGGGCAACCTACCAACGTTTGGTTAACCGTATGTTTTCCGAGCAGATCGGGAAATCCATGGAAGTCTATGTCGATGACATGTTGGTTAAGTCGCATGTTGCTTCAGATCATATAGCACATCTCGCCAAGATGTTTGACATACTCCGAAGGTACATAATGAAGCTTAATCCTTTAAAGTGTTCATTCAGGGTATCCTCAGGGAAATTCCTAGGGTATATGGTTAACCACCGGGGGGTCGAGATCAACCCCGAAAAGATCCAAGCTCTATTGGATATGAAAAGTACCACGAATAGGAAGCAAGTTCAGAGCTTAAATTGAAGGATAACGACTCTTAGTCGCTTTATATTAGGAGCAACAGATCATTGCTTATCGTTCTTGAATACACTAAGGGCCAACAAGAGGTTTGAATGGACTCCAAAATGTGAGCGGGCTTTCCAAAGCATAAAAGAACATCTCGGAAAGCCATCTCTCCTATCCAAGCCTCTTCCCAGGGAAATCTTATTCATCTACCTGTCTTTCTCTGTAATAACTTCTTTCTACTAGTATACTTAGAGACATATACTATGATAAAAGTATATTTATAGAAAATGAAAAATAGATGGGCCCAAAAATTTTCTTTACTAAACATTTATTATTCTGTACATAGCAAAATAACATATCTATAAGCTTTTACAATGGTGGACAGAAATGCCATTTCTCTCTGCTTGCCCACATCCTTCCGACCGCTGCTCAGCTATGTCCTGCAAAAC